TTAATCTTCTTTGTCAGTGTGTCCTTTGCCATTCCCTATCACTCCTCCCTGGGAGAGACTTCACCCTGAGTCATAAGGAAAAGGGGATGGCGTATTCTCTTAGCTACTTCCTGCTGAAAAGGGACGCTGTGGGTTTCAGGGTGAAGCTCTTCTCTCACTACTCTAAACAAAGGGAAATTATAACTTCTCAAACATTGAATAATTTTTAAATCGTATAATCAAGCTCATTTTTCTGCAAACATAATGACATAAATATGTTTATATCTGCTATTCAAGTATGTTTATTAAAATATACTAGGGTACTAAGACAGCACCCTGGTGGCACAGTTGTTAAGCCCTCAACTGCTAACGAAAGGCTGGTGTGTGGAATCTGCCAGTGGCTGCACAGGGGGTAAGGCCTGGAGCTGCTTCAGGAGAGATGACAGCTTGGGAAGCCCTCTGTCCTGCTTTCTGTCCTGCAGAGTGGCTGTGAGTCAGAATCCGCTTGATGGCACACACAAAACCAACAGAACACGAAGAAGGATTGAAACAATTCCTTGAGTCTCTTGAACTTTGAGGCCTTGTTTCTCTTCTAATCAAGTTTGACCTTGACACTGTAGCATTAACTGTGCCACCTTCAGGTGTGTGACTTCAGGGGAACGGTTACATTTCTATATTATTATTCACATTTTGAAAGGGGGAAGTTCATAGTTCATTGGGAGATGTGAGGAGAAAATGAATTACTGAGAAGAGAGCCTCAGGCATTTAAAACAAATCCTCTCTGTTCATTGTTTTAATGATCTTGATCTAGACTCATTTTATCTCAAAGAGTATAATGCTTTGGATATGATACATTCCAAACCAAGACATTTCCACTCCCCCTAAGGAAAGAGGCCTGATGGGGCAGCTAACGAAAAGAACAGTAGTTCAACTCCATGAGCTGATTTTCTAAGATGAGCAATCCTTTCCTTAAAGATTTACGGTCTCAGAACCCAAGACTATGAAATTAAGTACTTCAGAGATTTATAAACTATTGATATATGTATAGAATTTTGGAAGAAAACCAAATTCTGGAAATCTGCAAGAGAATTCAATATTTTGCTTCATTTGCAGCAAAAAGGATGCTGAATCTAATGATACTAAAAGTATCCAGGATCAACTTTGGGAATGTATTCAAATGACAATGTTGAAAGTGACCTTGGGACCAATGTGGATAAAATCTCAGCAGACTCTATATACCCTTATTTAAAGTCCATTGTTGATTTTGGGCAGTGAAATTGGTCTGTGACTTAATCTTTTTGGGATGACATTACTAAAGGGTTGAGAATAAAGATAGGGGACAGATGGTAGAGCTATCCCTTGGTCTGGGATAAGTGAGTTTAATGACTTCTGAGAGCCATCCGACCTTCATTGAATGTCTTAAGTCTACAGGTTTGATTACTTGGTCATGTGGCTGGACCAGCAGAATTGGGTCCCTGAAGGCAAGACCAACCTTGACTCTTGTTCTGGTCTTCTGACCACCCCACTGAATTGCACTTCGTTCTTTTCATTCTGTTGCTCATAGGATCACCATGAGTCACAGCCAACTTTACCTATGAGTTACATCAAGTCCAGAGGAAAAACCAACCAAAGTGAAGGTGCTTTATCAGATAGAGTAGGACATTTTCAAAGTCCAGTTAAACAACAGTCACCTTTCTATTTTCCTTTGCCTTCTCAAGAAATTTGCAATCTTATTGCCACAGAAGTATTTACCACACTGAAGGCACACACAGTCATACTTACGGTTCCATTTCTTATCATACTCCTGGCATAATACAGAGCACTCTAAAAATCTTTGAGTAAATTATTTGGTGGTGGTGATGGGGATATGCAAATATGTCCCACCATAAAGTAAGGTGTGCTATCAGCCGCTCATTAGCACCTTGTTATGAGATTGTTTCTCCCAATTTCCTCCAAATCTAAGGATATTTGAGAGGGTCTGCAGATCTTGCAGACACATTTACAAGTATCAGTTATCAAGGGAACCATTTTCTTGCTGGCTTCCTGGCACCTCCCCTATCTTTCCCCCCTTTTCCGCCTCTGTCACCCCATTCACTAACCTCCCATCTCCCCCATAACACGTCCATCATGTTACACTTCGTGAGAGCTCGCTGGAGCTTCCAGGGAGTGTGGATTAGTGACACGATACAGCCCAACCAGCTTCTTCTAGGTTCCTGGAGCTGGTTGCACAAGAGCCTTGCAGACAATGGGGCCAGTGAGAGCTTCTGGGAACAGCCACCTGGAAATACAATCTCAGTTCAATGCAGGCTGCACTGATACAAGGAGGGATTTGGGGAACTCACAGACCATTGGCCCTCTGTTGATATTGGGTGATTCACGTGAAAAGTGAGGACATGGAGAAATTTTGTTAACCACAGCAAAAAAGTCTGTTCTGAAAATGTGGTTTTTCCCAGGGGTTGCATTTATCTGGTCAACATGATCTAAGTTAAATAATTAACATAGTCTACTTTGGACATGTTGTAAGGAGGGACCGGTCCTTGGAGAAGGACATCATGCTTGGGAGGGTGGAAGGACAGCACAGGAGGGGAAGGCCCCCTATGAGGTGGATCGATTCAGTGACTGGGATGATCGGGATGGGAGTGTCAGGGACAGTGCAATTGGCACAGGACAGAGCAGAGTTTAGGGCTGTTGTACATAGGGTCACTATGAGTCGCAAGCGACTCAACGGCACATAACAACAACTATAAAATGATGTTATAATCAACTTACAGTCAGATCAGCTATGACATTGGACCTGTTCTGCCTCCAGAGGAGACCTACTCCCTTGCCACAGACCCCACCCAGTGACCCCCCACTCAGCTCAGTTTTCCTCTACAGCCCCTCAGTCCCTTGGGTTTTCAATCCCAAATGCCATCTTCAGGATGGAAATCCATGGTTCTGGAATTCAGCGGGACATTCTCTCAGTAGCTCTGCTCTCTATCCAGCCCGCCCTGACACCGCTGTTAATTCTTCTGCCTGCAGGCTCCCACGCTCTTGGGCCTGGCCTCTTTCTCAGGAACAGTCTTTCTTCCTGTGGTTAACACAGTGGGTGGATGTGGGCTGCCAGTTGTTTTGTGAAGGAGTGAGTGATTTGCGTGACCCAGGGACTCCGTAGTCATCTGGCACAAATGGCTAGCATGCAACAGCCAAGATGGTGGAGACAGAGCATTTCAAGAAGCCGTGTTGAGGAAGCCACGGATGACACAGCCTCTTCACACTCAGTAAATCACCAAGACTTGAGCCTTCACCTCACAAAGGGCACTTTGTGCCTCATCTCTGTCCTCACTGCCACTGCCTTACACGGATTCCTTAAGAACTTAGGACCAGACAATCCCAGCAGCCCCAGAACTGGCTTCCTTGTCCAGCTCTTACCTCCTTCCATCCACATGGACATGACAAATGACCCACACTGGGCATTCGGCCTTTCCCAGCCTAAATCCCTGCATGGCTTTCTCCTTGCAGCCTGGCCCTCATGACTTCCCAACCCCAAAGTCATCTGTCTGGCACCCCATCCTCCCCTGCTCACATTCTGGCCTCCCTCACTGCATATGGTTCCCTGAGCATGCTTTGTTGTTTTACCACCCGGTACTCCAGCAGCGTGTAACCCCCTGAAGGAACGCACAGGAGACCACCGGCGTGGGGAAGCCGCTGTGGCAGTATTAGTGTCCGAGGCCACCTTCCTCACCAAGCTGGACAGCGATGTCCTACAAGCGGGGTTAATACCCAGGGCACCTTTGAGAACTGTCTGGAGTCATTAGCAGGGAGCACAGCTGTGCAAGGGCCCTCGCTGGGTCATACACTAATCAGGAGGGTCACTTTGGCCTCACCGGGCAGTGACCCTTACCTCCCCTCCCCCTCTCCCCTGCAGGCTCAGAGAGAAAACCATGGCTCACCCAGGAGTGTTAGAGAAAATGAACTAGAAAGCAAGGCTTAGTGCGTGTGTAATTAAAGAAAGAAAAAGGTTCCCATTTTAGCTACAGTTAAACATGTTTGGGAGAATAGGATATCTGGCCAAAAGTTGCAATAACTGGTTCAAAGACATATCTGATTAAAAGAAAGAATTTTCAAAACAAAAAAATTTTAAAAAGTTTTTTTTAAAAAAAAAAAAGGACACAATGGAATACTACACCGCACTGAAAAACAAGGAACTCATGCAATATTATTCAAAGTGGGTGACCCTGGAGGACATTATGCTGAGTGAAATATCTCAGTCACAAAGGGACAA